TAAGAGTGCCTCTTAGCAACCTGGATGCTCTGGCTGATGTCCCACCCAGCTCCTGGCAACCAGTGATGTCAGTGAGCTGGGCAGGACACCAGAGTAGGGTTGCCACCTGTCTGGGATTCACCCGGACAGTCCAGTTTTTGAGTCCTGTGTCCGGGTTTCAGGCCAGCTGACACTAAGACACTAAGTGCCAATACTGATGCGGCTGCCAAGGTCCCCAGCAAGTGCAGGACCTCAGGCAGTCGCATCTGCCTGAAGCCCGCACAGCCCACCTTGAGAGCCCACGGTGTCCATATGAGAGCCTGCACAAGCCACCTGAGACCCTTAAGACATCAGGGCACCACCCCAGAATAACAGAGTATTTAGTTTCATATAATTTTGCATTGCTGGGATTTGTAGTCCTCTATAACCAGTCTCCTTACTCCCTCCCCTGGCTGTCTCTTCTTCCTCTTTCTCCTAGCTGTCTCTCCTAAAAAAAAAGATGTTGGCCAACATTGCAGAGCTACTACAGCCTCCTGCAGTCTGTTATTAATAAGAGGACCATAGCAGAGAGATAAAGCAATTTGATCCAACAGGTGTAAAAGCAGCTTTGTTACCGCCTTGCACTTTTTGAAGTCACAATTCACTCCATAAATAGGAAACATGAAGAAACCCACCAATGTTTGGTGCCCATGCAACCAGGTGAACCGACACAGCTCCGTACCTTAAGAAGGTTACCAGTCTCTCGGTCTGGCTATACCCGGGGCATGAATGTGGAACCCGTGTGCATTGATTTTAATTCCAACTCCATATCATAAAAAATACCTACAGTGACCTTTGATCCTATAATCCCGGACCCGTTGCCTCAAGAAACCCAATGTGCCTTGGTTTTCAATAATGGGTGTCCATGGTCGCCACCTACTTCTTTATGTGGAACCAGCTCCAACAACACAAAAGTTGGAACCTTTGCATCACTTGTGTAATAATCCCATTAGAGGATGACTAGGGCTGGGGGGGGGGTGGTAAATACATCCGAGTGGCCCTTTTATGTTAGGGCTCAAGAATGGGCACCAGGCAAAGTGTGCCATTGCGCCTTCCTGATTGGTGGGCTTGGTAAAAGGTGGGTGTTCCTGTGGGATAAAGTTTATTGTGACACATCTTCCGGCACTGGTATCATTTATGACTCAGACACATGCCGTGTCAGAAAGCCACCAAATAAAGCCATTGGTGGAGACCTTCCTCTGCCAGCTGGTGTGATTTAAGGCCTGACTGGGGAGCGGAGAGCTGTATGATGCCCACCATATGAATTCAATCTTGGGGGCCCAACGCTATGGACTCATCTCTACTGCAGAGAGCTATATAATGCCCACCATGTGTCAATGACTGCAGTTTCTACTCTGAATGGTGAAGCATCTCCAATCATCACCACCAGCCCAAAACATCTTAATGGTACTGGCCCAGGAGGCAGAATGTTCCCCTACCCCCAGCCCAATCCTCCTCTATTTCTTATACATGAGCATTCAATCTTGGGGGCCCAACAATATGAACTCATCTCTACTGTAGAGTGATATATGATGCCCACCATGTGTCAATGACTTCTGTGTCTACTGTGATCAATGTCTGAATGGTGAAGCATCTCCAATCAGGGCCACCAGCCCAAAATATCTTACTGGTACTGGCCCAGGGGGCAAATGCCTCCCTCCCCCAAGCCCAATCCTCCTCTATTTCCCATACGTGAGCATTTGA